CTTCAGTAAACTACAAAGCCGCACCACCCGCAGAACACACAAACACACACGGAGCAGACAGCGACCGCACAGCGAAAAACACCCGCAGACACACTCATCACTCCACGCCGACGAGGAACGGAACGTAGGAACGAACCGAAAAAGCGAGCGCAACGTGCCACTTCGAGACACAACTGAACAACTGAGTCACTGGAAACACACCAACAATCCGTTGGTCCCAGACAGCACCCTCCCTACACGCCACAACTGAACAAAGCCCAGAGTCACCGTGAACGCGACAAACAAAGTCCCACTGACCCATCCAACTGTTGTTTCATTTAAAGTCCGGTGCGGTTTATTTGTGAAAAAAGTTCGAAAATAGACCATTTAATGACTGTGCGATTTATAATCCAGAGCGCCTAATAGCCCGGAAAATACATTATACATCTGTATAAATTTAGGCATTAAGAGGTTAATATCCTTTGTGAAACTTTGAGATTAAAAGTATGATTCAGGTATGAATTAGATTTTATTTTTTAACCCCTGTCCCTCGTCCCAATCTCTCTCCTATAGTGACCCAGTCTTGGTACGAGGGCCAATCGAGATTTGAATAATGACTTTTCTTTCACTTTCTATGATAATGCGTGGAAGATCTCAGTCAGTGTTATTTCTTCTAGCAAGACAATATCCTGGCACAGAATTATCAGGAGAGAAGTTGTAACCCAAGACTGCAATAAATGATTCCCGAGAACACATCCAGCTGTTTATAATATTTCAAATCCTCACTCTTCAAAATACCCCATATTGCTTTTAAATACCTTGTTGCCCAAATGTGGGTTAAATATTGTCAGTGTTGAATGAGTGTTTTTGTGTGAGTGGATCTGGCACGCTCACTCCAGATCTCCTGTAATAGCGGGACATAAATCACTCTTTGGAGATTAGCCAGACTTTGCTTCAGCTTCAGAGAGACGTATAAAACGGCACATGTCCCGGACCGGTGTTCACTCTCCTGGTTTGTATTATTATGGTCTCCTCCCAGCTCTGACAGCAGCTTTGAAAACAGTTGGGCTCATTTCTTTCTTGTGAATGCGACTTTTTTTTTAGTATCGATACCGGTTCGATTATTATCTGATTTTCTATACTTCTGTTGGAACTTTGTCCTTTATTTTTGGTCATTCTACCCAACTCGCCAGTCAGAATTAACTACAATATTATTTTTGTCCACTGTGTCTCCTCTCCACATATGAGGTCCAAACAAATATAGCTTTTACTGATAACAATTGTAGTGTTGATTTATTCTTGATTACGAAAATGTTTTTGTTTTTATTCGGTGGTCCGGTTCTCAAGACAATTACCCAATCAGAAAGCAGAATGAGCCTCACACGAGTCTTTCATTTGGGTTGTCAGGTTCAATGCAGAAATTCAGTGTTTAAACCCAAAAGGACGGATCTGAATTGTCACTACCTAAACCCCAGCACTTGCAGACAATCATTAATCAGCGTTAGTAAAGGTTAATGGTGTGTTGTGTAACCTTTCTGGTGGACGGTTTGTCAAATGCTTTTTTTTCTTAGAGATGTTATTGTTTTGTGTGTAATGTTTCACAGTATGGCATTAAACATTTCTATTAGTGTTGTAATCAAGACTGCACTAATCGAGACTAAGACCGGTCTGAGACCACAGGGTCCGAAGACTAGGACAAAGACCAAAACCTCTGAAGGTTGAGACTGAGACAAGACCCAGACTTTTAAAGGTCGAAACAGAGATAAGACCACGGCCCATCGAGATCAAATCAAGACCATTTTTGTCATTTTCTACATTTATTTGTATTTTACAGTTTTTTTTGGCACATGCCGTATTTTACGCACTATTAGGCGCTCTGGATTATAAGACGCATGTCATTGAATGGTCTATTTTTGAACTTTTTTCACAAATAAACCACACCGGACTTTAAACGAAACACAGCAGTTGGATGGGTCAGTGGGACTTTGTTTGTTTGTGGAGTTCACGGTGACTCTGGGCTTTGTTCAGTTGTGGCGTGTAGGGAGGGTGCTGTCTGGGATCGCTGGATTGTCGGCGTGTTCGCAGTGACTCAGTTGTTCAGTTGTGTCTAGAAGTGGCACATTGCACTCGCTTTTTCGGTTCGTTCTTCCGTTCCATTCCTCGTCGGTGTGGAGTGACGAGTGTGGCTGTGGGTGTTTTTCGCTGCACGGTCGCTGTCTGCTCCGTGCATGTTTGCGTGTGCTGTGGGTTTATAGTTTACTGAAGTCGTGCTGGAACACCCGAGTGGATTGGTGTATAGGGCACTATGGATTGTGGGGTGTGCAGTTGTTTTTTGATGGGGTTGGAGGCTTAAGAGCGCGCCAAATAGCCCAGAAAATACAGTACATATCAATGTTTTTATAGATCTATCTCCAGTTTATCTGATAAATGTTAATTTAAGCTTAAAATAAGACAAGCACACTGTACTGCAGGTAAACACCCTTTTTTTGGACCCTCACCCACAGTTTGAGAGAACTTTACAGCTCTTTACAGAAAACCGTGAAGAAAGTGGGTCGAATTTTTAAACCTTTTTTTTTTTTTTATTCCTAACTAGAGTGAGACCTCTGTGACGAGACCATTCTCGAAAGGTCTCAAGTACTACGACACTACTTTCTATGCTCATGGAAACCAAACCAGACTAAGTTACAGGTCAGGTCTGTAGAGAGGCAGCCCTGCTCACAGTCAGAATTCCTGTTTTTCTAGGTATTTCTGAGCTTTACAACCACCTGTAATTGTATAAATGTAAGGTAGAGCTGTTTAATGTCGTACTGTGGAACATTCCAGGCAGAGCAATGACATATCCAAAGAAACAAGCAGGTGACGGACCAATCAGTTCAAACACATACTGTCATCCCTTTTATCAAGATATCTGAAACTGCTAATCAATACTCAAGAACCAAGCTAAGAACTGTCTCCCATTTGGTCAAGAAGTCCAGTTAATTGAGTGGCGTTTTCCCTTTCTCATTTTTAGGTACATGTTAACCCTGACAGACCACCGCAGATCTCCAGGATTATAATGATGCTTCTAGACAGTCACCTTTAAAAGCTGATAGGAGCTGTCAAAGCTAGTGTCAACAGTGGGGCTAACGCACGCACTGTCCACTCCCAAAGTCTTTAATGAACCATGAGTGAAGCTAAATGAGGCTGCTGAGCTGTTACCATGGCCCGCCAGTGTCAGGCCATCTTCACCTCCTCATCCCTTCCTCCCTTCATCCCTCTCTCCATCCGCCTCTATCTGTCTCTCGCTCGCGTCCCTCCATCTCCCCCGTGTGTGGTGGAAGGTGCCAGTGGGTGCTCTGCAGTGGCACGAGGCTCTGCATGCAAATCAGAGCAGGGCTGCCACTGACACTGCTGCACTTACACTAATAAGAGCGCTGATAAGGCTGGGTCTGCGGAGTATACAGTGAATTATGGTTTTGAGTTGTTGTTTTCGTGTATACCTCTTTTAAGTCGATGTCAGTGTCATAGAGGCTAATGCATACACACAGTAAAATTGGAATAATAATGAATGATGATTGAATTGATAAACTTAGTCACCTTGGTCAACTTAGTCTCATGAAAATAACGTCTTTGTTAATGGAAGTGGGACATAATGACAAAAAATAACTATATACTAGGGTGTTCTAAGTTCCAGATAACCTCGATTAGAACCCTGCGTTACGTTTTAGCATCCAAAAGATGATTTAGGAAGAAATTTGAAAGAAAAAGGAGATGTTTTATAGGTTGCTCAAGCTGCATGTTTCCTGGAAAATGACTACTGGTAATTTTGTGTTTTCTAGTAACTTTTTATGGACTTTCTGAGTAATTTTTATGCAAGTTTCAGTTTGTGTTTGCAGAATAAAATGGCAAATTATTCGAAGACGTCTTATTTGTTTGGTTCGATATATTACAGTATAGAGTGTCTTCAGTAACCTCTAAATATTAATTTATTTGCATAAAATTTGGACCTAATAGGCTCCATTCACGTTACTTCACAAACCAGGAAGACATTTGGAAAGATGCGATTACAACTGTTCTGTTTGCAGTTGTAAGTCTGACAACAAAACTGAAAAAAAAAAATTGAAAATGGCCCAGTTTTCTTCATCTCCCTGTCATTGTAGGGTTCCTTTATGTTCAGCTAATCAACAATTACAACCATACCTCAGATGTCATTCGACGTGCCCAGTGTCGGTAACTACACCAAAAGTTGTAATCGCATCTTTCCTGACGTCTTCCTGGTTTGTGACATAAGCGTGAATAGAGCCTATATTTTGGCCAGCTATGGAACTAAATGCAGGGTTCTAATCTACAGAATCTAAAATACTATATACATTTTTCACATAAGGTTCATGACCTTTCTATACACTGGCTGTGGATTGTTATCACATCTTTGGAGTTATATTATTAAAATGAAATGCAAGCAGCAAAATTTTTGTCAGAATATGCAGTTTGTGTCATTTAAAGATCCTATATTACACAAAACTGACTCATGAATAACCCCTTTTTATGAGTCTGTCTACATCTCCAAAGCTCAGAATGCTTCGTTCCACCTTGTCATGTCATGAAGCGATAGTTTTCACGTTCCCAGCTTTTACCTTTAGTTCAGTAAAGATGTGCAATTCCAGGAAATGTCCAAATGATTCTAGTGAAGAGGTGTGGAGTTTAAAAACACAGTGAAGCACTTCCTGTATTATGACATGGTATCACAAGTTGGAACAGAGTGTTTTCAGTTTGAGAGAAGAACTCAGCCTAAATATGCAGGGTTTGTGTGTTAAACATGTGAATGAAACCAAACACAACTCCAGGTCTGTTTGTGATGAGGAAACATTAGAACAGAGATCAGAAATAAAGTACTGTGGGCCCTTTAAGTACTTGATGTTCAGCCTTGATTGCAGTACCTTTTTGTAAAACTGTACGAGCCGAAGATACATACATTTCTTTTAATGTAAGTGTCCTGATATGCACCAGTCCATCTGAACCCATCTTGTGTTCCTCCCCCACAGGCAGAAGAGGAGAGCGTGTGGTTGGATCATGTGCCTGTGCTGAGGGGAGCTCTGGTGCCATCATGAGGCTGCCCGTGGCCTCCTCTTCCTCTTCCTCCTCCTCTTCCTCCTCTCTGCCCCTGCTTCTCCTGGGTCTGGCCTGGATCGCCCTCGTGCCGCACCCGTCCTCCGGCGCTACCCCGTTCCCCCAGGACCTGGAGCCCATCAGCACGGTGGGCAGAGATGGTGAGTCTGTTACCATGGTGATCTTCTACAGTAAAGCAAAGGGGGAAAGACTAAGAGCAGCACTGTCGGAAGTAGCCATGTCATAATGTCAAATGTTAGTTTAAAGATGCACTATGAAACTTTTATGACATTGTGAAACTGTTATGGGTCCGTGACATGCTTGTTTCTATGGAGATGCCATTGCTCTCCACGGTATGACATTAAACAGCTCTAACTTAGATTTATTCAATTACAGGTGGTTTAGGGCTGCTTGATTATGGAAAAAATCAATTATTTTGGTCAATACTTGAAATCACAATTATTAAATTTTTAGTTACACGATGCATTTACTCAGCATTTCTCGCTCTCAAAAAAAAAAAAAAAAAACACTTTGTTATTGATAATTTATGCACAAACTTTCAAACTGAAAATAAATATAGGCTACAAATTTGTACCTTAGAACAGTTTTGTGGTGTATAAATCATAAAATGAATAAAATATACTTCCAAAATAAACTATATATCCAGCTGTTCTACAATCTCTATATTTACAATCTCTATATATACTAATGTATATATTTATATAAAAGAAATATCCCAAAATAAATTATTTCAACTCGTTTATGAGTTTGAAGATCGTTTGACGCACAAAATCAAAATTGCGATCAAAATTAAATTAATTGCACAGCAGGTGGTTTTATAGCTCAAAAATATCTATAAAAACAAGCATTCTGTGAGTGTGGTCGCCTCTCCACAGATCTGACCTGTAACTTGATCTGGTTGGGTCTCCATGATGATGGAAAGGTTTAAAGCCATACTGTGAAACATTTCAGACAAAGCATTTATGTCTCAATGGAGAAAAGTAACCAGAAAGTTGCACAATGCACCTTTAAAGATACACCATGTAATACTTTGGGTAGTTGCTATGGAGATTTTATACCTGCTTTGGACAGTATGGCATTAATCTTTATCCCACACTTATTCATTTTTACATGTTTTTATTGCTCAAAAGTCATTTAAAAACATGCGTTCTTTCTGCAAACTCGCTCGCCTCTCTGTAGATCTGACCTGTAACTTGGTCTGGTTGCATTACTCGCTTATTTCCATGGATACAAGTCAAGTTTAATGCTTAATGTTGTGGAATATTTCACCTGCCATCAGAAAAGTTAACTTTAAAAGATAAAACGGGCCCATAATTCACTCATTCACGTCGTCTAATGGCGCAATAAGGATAAAGTGATTCCTCATACCCTAGTTGGACGTTTTCGTTGCATGTTCTGCGGAGGTTGAGACAGCTGCGAGCTCTTTGTCCTGTTACACATCTGGGGTTAATTTATGGCAAATCCGGGCATTTGGATCTTGCTATAAGTTTGATCATTCCTGTCAAAAGCACCTTGTTCTACAGTCCATTATATCTGCGGACGTTAAAGCATTTGTTGGAAGTTCTCCAGTAGAGTTTGATATATGATTCTAGGCAGGGCTCCACAGTACATAAATAAAATGTTCATACAGAAAATCATTTAAGATGGATAACACATGTCAAATAAAATCATGGCTCACCTACATTTTCAAATCTTCCCATGTAAAGTAGGTGAGCAGGACTTCAGAGCGTGTATGTATTTGCGGAATATTTATTTGTTGTTGTATTCACTTAGTTTTTTTGACTATACAGTTGTTTAGTATTTAGTCCCTCTGAAATACAAAAAGGGGAGGAGCCTATTGTTTATGTTTTTAGTGGGAGGGGAAACTGGAGATGCAATATGACAGTGATGATGTAGTGCCACATGACTGCACCCAGGAAGTTCGCTGTATGGCACCCAGTCACTCCCAAGGTGCACCCATTCACTGCCTCCGGTCACTGCACCTGGTCACTGCATCATGTCATTGCACCCTGTCACTCCCAATGTGAACCTAGTCACTGATTCAAGGTGCACCCTGTCACTGCACCCAGATATTCATGAGGTGCACCCAGTCATTGCACCCTGTCACTGCATCTAGTCATTGCACTCTGTCACAGCACCCAGTCGCAGCACCCAGTCGCTGCACCCAGTTGCTGCAACCAGTCACTCCAGAACTTCACCCTGTCCCATCACCCTGTCCCTGGACCCAGTCATTTCACCCTGTCACTGCACCCAGTCACTGTACCCAGTCACACCAGAAGTTCACCCAGTCACTTCACCCAGTCACTGCCCACGGTCACTCCAGAAGTTCACCCGGTCACTGCACCCGGTCACTGAACACAGTCATTGCACCCAGTCACTTCACCCATTCACTCAAGACGTTCACCCAGTCACTTCACCTAGTCACTGCATCCCGTCTCTTCACCTAGTCACTGCACCCAGTCTCTTCACCCAGTCACTGCACCCAGTCACTGCACCCAGTCACTCAAGAAGTTCACCCAGTCACTTCACCCAGTCACTGCACCCAGTCACTTCACCCAGTCACTTCACCCAGTCACTTCACCCAGTCACTGCACCCAGTCACTTCACCCAGTCACTTCACCCAGTCACTTCACTCAGTCACTTCACTCAGTCACTGCACCCAGTCACTCCCGAACTGCAACCTGTCACTGCAACCTGTCACTGCACCCTGTCACTGCACCCAGTCACTGCACCCAGTCACTGCACCCAGTCACTGCACCCAGTCACTCCCGAACTGCAACCTGTCACTGCACCCAGCCACTGCAGAGGTGCACCTAGTCACTTCTTAAATATGCATCTTGTCATTGCACCCTGTCATTCCCGAAGTGCACCCTATCCCTGCCCGAGGTCCACCCGGCCACTGCCCCGAGCTGCACCCGCCGTAGCCCCTGCCCGCTGACGTAATAACCGGTAATTGACTCCAGAGGTGACGGAGACCGCGGCCCGCGCACCGTAATTGATCTATCAGGAAGAGAGCGCCGCACGCATTAGCAGGAATAGCCACGCCATTAGCCCTGCGTGCGCCGCCGTGTCCCGGGCCTAATGAGGGCCATTTGTCACCGGTGGTTCCAGTGGGTGACAGGGTGGCACCGCAACGAAGCACCATCTGCACCAGTCTATCAAACCCCACTGATAACGCCAACCGCCAACTGTGCATCCCATAATACACTGGAGTCAATTAACTACTGCAGCAGCTGGTTTGTTTTTTGCAGGAGTTATGTTAGGTGTGTGTAATATTATCAGATAGAGAAGCGGGAGGGGCTCTGTCATGTTCTAAGAGCTTTGAGTAGAGTCGCTGCTCCATGAACTAGAGCACAGGTGTCAAACATATGGCCCGGGGGCCAGATCCGGCCCTCCAAGACCTTTAATCTGGCCCTCGGCTGATTTTCTACTAAAATATTTTAATTATATTTTCTATTAAAATCTTGTTAATTTTCTGTGGTGTTTATCACAGCAGCGTCTCCAGCGTCTCTGTACGTGGCCCCTCCCACCAGAGCAGCACAAATGAAGACTTGTCTCTTTCCAAACGCTCTTAAAGGACGATCGTTTTGACTGTTGACCGTGACACCCTCATCAGAAAAATGTCCAACATGAGAAAAGTGGAGCCGAGTGCAGGATTTTACAACAAAAAATAACGTATTCCTATTTACATACAAGTTAATATTAAAACTTTGTGTTGAAATTGTATTTTTCTTAAAGTTTCTGGTTGTTCATAATATTATAATATTTAGTAAAAAAAAAAAAAGAGTTAGTCAATTAAAAAAGATTTCTGTAATAGATTTGTGTTTCTCTGCACAAATATTTGAATTTATTGTTATTTTTGGGGTTTATATGTCATGAGTTTTCTGATACCGGCCCTTTTGGGATCAAAGTCGGTTGAATACGGCCCCCGAACCAAAATGAGTTTGACACCCCTGAACTAGAGGATTCCACTGAAATAACTCCTGGATATAAATGTCTTATGTCATAGAAAAAAACACAGTACTAATAATGTTGTTTGTTGTATTTTTCCATCTGATCCATCTTATTTTTTTATTCGATTTGGTTTATTTTCAAAAACTAAATGAACACACAATACAGATTTTTATTCCAGTGCCATTTAACACCAAAAATAGTACCATTTCTGTCTCCAAAAAGCCGGACTCTGCTCCAAACCACATGCTTTTGCTGACAGAGAACTGGCTGTGGACCTCACCATTAAAAAGTCCCAAGCTGATCATTCGAAAGGAGACGAGTTTCCATTTCTCTTTGAGTTGGACACAGTCTTAAAACCACACATGGGCACAGTAGCCAGATGGAGTATTCAAGTATGTACTGTCACTTCAAAAGACTATTACTCAAGCAGTACAAAGCTAATACTGATTTAGGAGTAAAAAGAAAACTACTACTCAAGTAAGAGTAACTGTAAGAGTAAATGTGTATTTGTAACATCACATTTATAGTTTGAAGTTAGTGTAATTAGAAGGATAAAACATTAAATAATACACAAAATCTGTTATTTTCAAAGACTATAAAAATATGAGAAACTAAATCATATCTGAAGGAGCAGTGCAAGAAACACAAATGTTAAAACTTTTACTCAATAGTTTATATCTTACTCAAGTATGAGTGAAAGTATGGTCAGAAAACTACTCTGAAAAGTACTTTATCAAATGCACTTGTACTACCAAATTATGCATAAAACAGAGAAATCCAGCCACAACATAATCTACTGTCTTTTGTAGAACTACTGAAACCACCACACCAATTACGTACTGTCATTTCAAAAGACGATTACTCAAGTACTACAAAGTTAATACGATGTAGGGCGAAACGTCTTCAACCAAACCAACTTTTGTCCAGTCGACAAACTTCACCATGGATTCTACCTGGACGACTGAGGGATTCGTTGCATAATTTAAGAGTAAAAAATGCTGATTTAGGATTTAAAGGGAGTAACTGTGTTTTTGTAACATCAGATTTATAGTTTGAGGTTAGTGTAATTAGAAAGATACAACAGTAAAGAATCCTCAAAATACAGTATTGTCAAAGACCACAAACAGTTGAGCAACTAAATCATATCTGAAGTAGCGGTGCAAGAAACACAAATGTTAAAATCATT